TCTTATATATGGAGAATATTCTTGGTTAGAAAAAAGGAGTTTTGTTCTAACCAACACCTGAAATTAATAAATTAGAAACAGCTTATTTAAGCTGAACAAAAGAATAACACCTTACGTGCTTTATCCAGAGCTAAATACTAATAATGTGAGTTTGAATATTACCACATGTTTATTGCCATACTACAGAAATCAGCAGCAGATAGTTCACCTAGGTCTTGGAAATAAAATAAACCTGTGAAGAGTACTGTGACTCAGTGCAAGTCAACACATGTCAGTGATTCAGCATGTATATTTAACAATGGTAAATAGGTTTAATATGTATTAAAAATATTATATACCATACCATTCCATTGGAGTGCAGTAAGTGCACTATTCTCTGCATCCGAATGGCTGTATTTAAATTTCTCTAGTGTTGAGTGATGCAAACAGCCAAATTACTTATTACTGCAAATCTCGCCACGTAGCGTGTTGTTAGTACACGGTGTTAATGTTTACGTTATGTTTACGATTGTAATATTGATATTATTTCCTAATTAATAAACACATCATGTGGAACTCTGAATCTGTGTCTCATTTCGAAGGCTGTTACTATCCATCAGAAGTCGCATTTTGGTCGCAGACACGCACTTTGAGAGCCTTCCTGACAGACAAAATGAATCAAATACACAATTTTCCACCAAGGCAAGCCAGGGTGCTGAAATATAATTGGCTAAACTTGCATTGAGCAGGTTAACATACGTTCTGGCACGTAAAGTACAATTGTGTAAAGCAGAAGACTTCAGCATTGTTTTTCAAATAAACAAGAATGCTCACTTAGCATGTTTCTCAAATATCTGCAAACATATTATAATATTTTTATGATTTAGAAGAGTCAAAAACTTACATAGGCCTACAACACATCATCAACGCTAATCATTCTCAATAAATGACATACTTTTTGAAGGCTGAAACAGGAAGGCTGGACTATGGCTTATGTTTACATGGTACATGGGAAAAGACATTCAGATTTTCATTCAGAAGTGCAAAATTCTAAAACTTGCTAAAGTAGAAGAACAGGGTAGCAAGAATAAACATTGGCACTGCACACGAGGGAACACTTAGGTCACATTTACACAGTTAGGTCTTGATGCCCAATTCCGATTTGTTGACGATATCAGAATTTTTGCCTGTCTGTTAACACGTTCTTTTAATTGTGACCCATTTCTGATTCCTGTGTTTACACCTGCCATACAATTTACGACGTTGCACATGCCTAAAGGTGTGTTCTAGCATCTGTACCACACTAGATGGAAGAAACTGTCTTGCTTTTACCTCAGCAAATAGTGGACTGACTACTTTCCTCCTACATGTTTCCTCTGTTGTTGTTGTTGTTTACCGTGTTGGCGTCTCCACATATGCTCTTCCTTCTGTCATTAAACCACGGAGAAGTACCACATTGTCGCAAGTTCAATTATGTACAAATTGGAACGTCATATTTCCACAGATGAAGGAGGCCCAAAACCGATCTCTGAATATACAAATGCATGCGTTTTTTTCGTGTTTACAGTCATAGAACTGATCCGATCTGTCACATATGAGCAAGTGTTTAAAAATGCCTTTATTTTTTTAGCATTACACATATAGGCACTACAAGAAAGCTTTTAAAGTAGCTAACTAATTTATCAAATGAATTTCTTGACTGTAAGCTATCTTGAATTCATGACTAACTTTTATCTCGAGAACGCACTCTTGCACTTATCACTTAATATGCTTAACAATATTCATGACGTTACATGTTTCATCCTGCAGACATCTTAATTACGGGTTCGCAACCACACGTCAACTCCATGAATCATTGGTTTGATCTAGTTTTTATTTTTGCCCTACCGCGGGGACCTCAATTATCCACAGCAAGACCGTGTGACATTTAAATACAAAACCAAAATCGCAGTGGACATTCAGTGCATCTGCATAAATGCAGGTTGTCACCCAGGCCTCCTTATGGATTCCCCTCAACTACTCGGCTCTCAAAGCGGAGGATTCAAGAGTAATTAGAGTTAAGAAAGTAAAGTCGCTGGAGATGTGGCTTATGATTTAATTCTTCTCTTGCATGGGGCCTTCAGCGCTGCACACTGATTAAAACAAACAAACTAGGCTGTTGTGCGTTCACCTTTCTCCACATTCATTCCTTCAGAGGTTTTCAATCAATACACTCACATAAGAGACCCCGGCACATGCAAGAAAGTCAATATCACACAGGAACAAACATGCCCATTAACACATACACCCTCGGGAGACGTGAGAAAAATGTACATCAAACTAGATTTAAAAGACAACTACATACAGTGTGACTATGTATTACAACTTTAAGTGTATCAAAGACGCAAATACAGAAATCTGTGACTTAAAATAAATCAATACTTGCAGTGCCGTTTCCTATTTTGAATTCAAACTGAGATTTCCTGAGAGTAAAATGGGTAATCAAAGCCATTATCATCCCTGAATGGGCCCAACCTGCAAATCACAGATGTCCACACATTGATATTCGAGAAAAAAAAGAATGCCGACATAAATCAAACACCCCATCTGGGTATATTATAGCAATTATAGCTATGTTTTTTTGCTGCCTAGAACATTAAAAGCGAGATGAGTTCAATTATTTCCTTCTTCAAGCATGATTAATTATTTTAAAGCCAATATATTGTTAAGACGTCTTGTTAGGGAAGAGCATCAGAGGTAATATAATGAAATTTCACCACTGAAATAAACATTAGCATTGATTTTGAATGTTGTCTGCATGCCTGAGCTCCTTTAAATAGCACAACACTTCACGCACTTTAAATAATTCAAGGTCTCCAAGATGTCTACAGCCTCCCTACTCTGTTCACAGCAACACTTATTTTATAACTATACATTATTCAAAATGAAAAGCTACAGTTCAAATGATTGTCTTTCAAAAGGCTGTTTACATGGACACCAACAATCCAATTTTAGTATGATTAAGACAATAGTCTGATTAAGAGTATACCATGTAAACAGAGATTTTTTTATTAACTTAATCAGATTAAGGTCAAAATCGAACTAAATAGAAATCGAATTAAGGCGAGTGGAGTATATCAATTTTAGTCTCATTATTGAAGTGCAGTACTGACATGTAAACACCTTAATCAAACTATTACCATTGTAGGACTTTTCGCTGAGTTTTATGACTGGAAAAACCACAAATACACAGTTGTTTGACACAATTCTCTGCGTACCGAGTCAGTAGGACTACAGACACCTTCATCGCGTAATGCTGAGGTTTTTTTTTTCCCCATTTGGCATGCGGTATCAAATTCCATGAAAACAACACTCTTTCACCAGTCATTATACGTCATAGTTGCATCCAATACCTCGGTTTGTCAAGGTGGGCATGAACGAAATGTTCCTGAATGAAAGTGAAAGTACCGAACTGCAAGTCGACAAATTAAAAGTGAAACACCCGAAATTCCATGAAACTGTGGAGGAAACATGGATAGCGTCGTGACGCAATGATGTAAATTGAATTATGCGCTAAAACATGTAAAACGGGATCATAAAAAGAACAATGTAAACGCAACTCATGTAAAAACCTTCATCATATTATTGTCTTAATTAGATTACTAATGTCCATATAAATATAGTCACTGACAGTTAAGACATACCAAAGAAGAGACCAATAAAAAAGACTAGTTGAAGATTTTGGGTGTAATCAAACAATCGGAGTGTTTTATTAGTTTACCGTACGTACTTTTTAACTGATCTTCTCATTTAATGCAATGTACTCATTTAGACTGATTTGTGAATAAAGAACATCAAAAGAAAAAGAGCTTGGATTTACATGTACACTCACCGGCCACTTTATTAGGTACACCTGTCCAACTGCTCGTTAATGCAAGGTTCTTACCAGCCAATAACATGGCAGCAACTTGATGCATTTAGCGGTGTAAACATAATCAAGACAATCTGCTGCAGTTCAAACTGAGCATCAGAATGGGGAAGAAAGGTGATTTAAGTGACTATGAACGTGGCATGGTTGTTGGTGCTAGACGGGTTGGTCTAAGTATTTCAGTAACTGCTGATCTACTGGGATTTTAAACAAAAACCATCACTAGGGTTTACAGAGAAAAAGAGAAAATATCCAGTGAGTGGCAGTTCTGTGGGCGTAAATGCTTTGTTGATGCCAGAGGTCAGATAAAAATAGCCAGACTGGTTTGAGCTGATAGAAAGACAGCATTAACTCAAATAACCACTCGTTACGACCAATGCAGAAGAGCATCTCTGCACGCAGACAAATCTGCAGCAACTGTGTGATGCTATCATGTCAATATGGACCAAAATCTCTGAGGAATGAGTTGAATCTATGCCATTAAGGATTTAAGCAGTTCTGAAGGCAAATGGGGGTCCAGCCCAGTAGTAGTGTACCTAATAAAGTGACTGCCGAGCGTATTAACAATCAGTCATATTATCAGCCATTTATTCAAAGTTAACTAGGATATTTTTAAAGGGTTTTAGTGGATTCAGGGTTGGTTCAAACTGCACATATTTATACAAGTTCGCTTGGGTGCACATAGTGACGTCATTACAATGTTGGCAGAAGTTTGTTTTGTGTGCATGTGACATTCATTTGGCTGACAGAGGGCCCAAAATATTTAGAAACTTTGTGTAAGGCTCCGTATCTGAAGATGCACAACTGGCTGAGCTGGGGGATTTGCATGTGCAACACCTTTAGAAATCCAAAACAACCGCCTCATCTAAAATCCCTGAGGTTTCTTTTGAAGCTTTAAGGGAAAACAATGCATATATATTAGTTGTTTAAATGACTAACTTAGGTTATATATTTATATATCTCCAAGCTAACTGCATAGTTAATGCAAAACCTTTTACACAATAATATATGTGACGGGGTACTATACCTCTGTCAACGGAGTAAATTTACAGTTCTACTGGCGGACAAATATGGACATTGATTCCGGTCAGAGAATCAGGCAACAAAGAAGTAATCCTCTTCAAACTTCTTTAATAACAATTATTAAGCAGTCAGTGCCATCAAACTTTCCAAGTATGTTGTGGTCTGTAGAACAGATGAGGAATACAGTATAAATATAAGGTATCTTTACACATTCACTTCAATGAGAAATCACACCATATATACAATGATTAAACAGTGATAATAAAGGAACAAATATATACGTAATAACAAACAAACTAATTAGTTAAATGGCAGTAAAAGGCAATAGGCGAAATGACGGAGCATATATTGCACACTGTATTCTCTCGCGGCTAGCGCAAGCGATATTTTCCTGCGATCGCGGCGCGATCGTCGTCATATATAACAAACAGTCTCTTATATGAAAGGAGTAAATGTTCACTCAGTGATTGTCACATTATTACTCACATTTAGTGCATGAACGCACAACATGTCGGAAGAAAAGGAGCGCATTGTGATCTGGCCCGGCATCTGAGTATGGGAAGTTACACCGCTAATAACAGTCCGTGTGAAACTCGCTAAATATTTTCAGTTCCTAGTGGGCTTTCTGACATAGCCGCCCCCAATTATCGATAAAGATAATTGTAAACCTTAAGAAAGGCCATCTTTGGTTTCCGTGTCTTTATCCTTCATTTCCGGAATTTGAATGAGTTTTACAACAGGCCTCAGATACGACTTATCCTTGACTTGGACTTTGGCAGTTCGAATCCTCCCGTCCGCCCCTGCATAGGTCTCTGTAACAGTTCCCACAGGCCACAGCGCACGCGGGAGTTGATTATCTATTAGTAGTACAACTTGGCCGACTACCAGCCCTTTACCATCTGTTCTCCATTTTTGCCTGCCCTGTAGTTCTGGTAAGTAGCGATGGACAAATGCAGCCCAGAATTGGTCAGCCAGTACTTGACTGTGTCGCCACCTGCGTTTACCCAGCATCTCGTTAGAGTCATAAAGGACTTGGGGCAAGGAGGCATCATGACGTCCCATTAGTAACATATTTGGGGTTACAGGATCTGGGTCGGCAATGTCAGATGAGACGTAGCCCAAGGGTTTGGAATTTAGTATGCCCTCCACCTCCACTAGTAAGGTTTGTAGGACAGACTCTGGTACACATTGTTCCCGAAGAATGACTTGCAAAGCAGCCTTAACCGATTTCACTTCTCGCTCCCAGGTTCCACCAAAGTGAGGTGCGTTTGGTGGGTTAAATCTAAACTGAATCTGCTGTTGAGCTAGCTGTGTCTGAAGCTTTGGGGCCATTTGCTTAAATGAGTCTCTTAACTCGTGGTCCCCTCCTACAAAGTTAGTCCCATTATCACAGAGTATTTCAGCAGGCTTCCCTCTACGGGATATGAAACGTCATAGAGACAGAAGGAAGGCATCAGTATCTAGATGTTCAAGTAGGTCAAGATGCAAACATCTTGTGGTTAAACACTTGAATAAGATCCCCCATCTTTTCTCCCTGCGCCGGCCTATCTTTATGTGAAAGGGTCCGAAGCAGTCTATGCCCGTAGAGTAAAATGGTGGTTTAAACAGACGTAGTCGGCATGGTGGTAGGTCGGCCATTTGTGGGTTCTGTGGCTTGGCACGCCAGAATTGGCAGTTATGACAGAAATGCTGGTGTTTCCGCACAGCTTCGCGACCTCTAAGCACCCAATATCGACGCCTTAGCTCTGCTAGTACTCGTTCTGCACCAGGGTGATGGAGTTGTTGATCTATGTCTTGGATCAGTAACTTTGTAACTTGATGGTGAGAGTCTTGAACAATCGGGTGAATAGTATCAAATGACAGTGTTTCAGCACGACGGAGACGTCCACCCACTCTTATCAACTCAGCATCTTTGTCGAATTCTGGAGCAAGAAAACTCAAACGGCTATCTGTCGGAATGGGCTGTCCAGCTTTCAGGGCTCTGAATTCCACTGGGAATGAATCAAGCTGAGCATGCGCTAAGAGAAGCTTTTCTGCCTGTATATACTTTGAGGCATCACTTGTAGTTTCAGTGTCAGCCGCCCCATCACAAGACATGACAGTTGCTTGAAGAAGTTCCTTCCAAGTTCTAAACTGACTGAGGTCTGCTGGTACTGGGCTTGGGGTAACTCTAATGGCTGCAATAAACGATGCTCGTTTGACTTCATTCATATCAGGTTCAGACTTTGTACTGGGCGTCACTGGCCATACTTCCTGTGGTTGAGTCAAGAATGATGGTCCATATCTCCACTGGTGAGGGCCTGCTATTTCCTCTAAAGTAAGCCCCCTGGTAATGTGGTCGGCAGGGTTTCTATTGGAGTCAACATACCTCCACTTGGACACATCTGTCAGTGTCTGAATTTCAGCTACTCTCGACCCTACGAACCCTTTGTACCGGCAAGATTCTGACTTTAGCCAATGCAGCACAGTAGTTGAGTCGGTCCAATGTGTAACTTGGTGTATGGGGATAGTAAGCTCAGCTTGTATGACCTTTGACATCTGAGCGCCAGAGTGTGCAGCACACAACTCCAGGCGGGGCATCGATAAACATTTGCGAGGAGCCACTCTAGAGGAGCTAGGACAAAGGATACATGGACCTTCTCCTCATTCCGGATTTGAAGATAGGCCACCGAGCCATATGCCCTTTCTGAGGCGTCACAGAATACATGTAACTCTCTGATGGTGGAGGGAGTATCTGACATTGCAGGAGCGTATGGTCTGGCGAATTGTACTGTAGTGATATGGGACAGTTCTGCAACCCATGTGGACCATTTATCACGCAAGTATAAGGGTTCGATAGGGTCATCCCAGCTTAGGTTTTGTTTCCAGAGATCCTGAATCAAGGTTTTAGCCCTAGTGGTAAAGGGTATAATAAAGCCCAGGGGGTCAAACTGACTAGCCAGGGTTTTGTACAGGTTTCTCATTGTTGGCTGGATGGGTTCGGCTATGCGGGTTTTATAACCAAGGGTGTCATCAATACAGTTCCATTGCAAGCCAAGTGTGAGTTCCTGCAGGTAAGAGCTACTCTGGGACAACCAGCACTCGCTACTAGCCGATATAGCCTCTGATGGAAGATGCTTCAGGACAGAAGGTACGTTGCACGCCCACTGTCGGATTTCAAAGCCTCCCTTTAACAGTGACTCACGTAGGCCATCAATTATAGCTTTGGCTTCATCCTGATTGGGGGTACTGTGAAGGCAGTTGTCGACATAAAATGAGGTCTCCACAATATCAGCTAGGTCTGGCCTACTTTCTCTGTTTTCCTGGGAATGGCACTGAAGGGCATAAATGGCACAGCACGGGCTGCATGTTGTGCCAAATGGAAGAACCTGCCACTCGTAAATGTCCGGAACTGCCTCCCTATTCATATTCCTCCAGATGAATCGCAGCACAGGCCGGTCCCCAGGTAACAGACGCACTTGGTGAAACATGCCTTTGATATCCCCACTCACTGCAACGGCATGCTGTCGGAACCTCAATATCACCCCCAACAGAGATGGTCCTAGTGTTGGCCCAGGAAGAAGTTGTTCATTTAGACTTTGGCCATTATACTGGAAGGAGCAGTTAAAGACGATACGATCTTTTCCATTATGATGCACCAGGTAGTGTGGGATAAACCATGACTCTGTGGAGTGGTTTGCCTCTTGTGGTGTTATCTTTGCGATGTAACCTGCTGACTCAAGCTTTTGGATCTCAGAACAGTAAACCTGTGCCTGCTCAGGATTTTTGGCTTATTTTCTTTCAAGGTTTCTGAGGCTGGGCAATACAGCTTCAATGCCTGTATGGAGCAAAGTGATGGGGGTACGTCTTAGCAGTGGAGTAGCATAACGCTGTATCCCATTTACGTCTACTCTGACAGTAGTAGTCTGTAAGAGGTTATGGCATTGTTTGTCTTGCTGTGATCTTGTTATCAGCTTTTCATTGTATGGCAATGTGTCAATTTGCCACAAGCGCTCCACATGCTGAGACAGCTCTTCACGTGATGGGGCTGTCATAATATGTAGGCATTGTTGCAGGCCTTTGGGGGGCTGAATTGGACTCATTGGTTCCTGTAGTACCCAACCAAGCTTGGTATGTATAGCAACGGGGCCACCATCTGGTCCCCTTCGTATTGGCTGTGTTGGCGTCAGGAGGTGTGGCAGGTCAGACCCTATGAGGAGTAACGGCTTGACTCTGTCTACTGGCTGTAAAGGCAGACCTTTCAGATGGTGGTATGACTTCTGTAGTGCTGCTACGGGGTAGTTATGCTCAGCAAGACATAGACCAGGGGCAGAAAAGGCGTTGCGTATGACATACCTCTCTGATGGCTTGGCAAATGGAGAGACCTCAAAGGTGACTTTGGACCCATTAAGGTTAGTATGGTTTCGCTGGATTGTCTGCAGAGAAAGCACTTCTGGAACTCCACTAAGCCCTTGAGGCTAAACTTCTTGAGGGAGGACAATAGTCCTTTCTGAGCCATCGTCGAGCACGGCATAAGCCTCAATGGTTTGGGTTTGACTGTGCAGGAGAACTCGTGCGACCTTGAGCATCACCTTCTGTGAGCGGTTAGGTCTATCCAGATAGATTTGTGTCGAAGGCAAACTCACCATTAGAACTGCTCTGGAAGTGTCTTTAATTGAGTCATGCAGTATGGTAAGATGGATTTCTTTGCATATTTTACATGGCCGCTTGAGGTTACAAGTATTAACTGAGTGATTCCTCCCACACTTCCAACAGCGTTTGTCTCTTGTGATCCAACTGACGATTTGATCGGTGGTCAGCTTCTTGAATTTGTCACATGAGTTCAAATAGTGGTCTGGGTTGTCACAGTACGGACAATACGGCTTTGGCTTGGGACTGACCTTTGCTGGTGTTGCTGCTGGTGGCTTAACAGCGTTTTCTGAAGTCAGAAACGAAGTCGTTGGACGTTCCCAATGATATGAAGAGCTTTTACTCCTGCCAGATGTCTTTGTAATATCTGACTGGAACATAGCAACCGCTCTACTGGAGATCCGCTTGGCTTGGGATTTTGTCTGTAACCAGGCTGCTAGGTCAGGAAGTGTATACGTTCTGTCTGTACCAGATTGAAGGATGCCATGACTAAAGCAGTACTCCACAAAGCTATCTCTGTAGGCAGGGGGCATTTTTCCTAAAAGGCGGTCAACATGGGAACCACACATGAGCTCAAATCCATTCTGGCCCTCTAGAGTCCTCAGCATACCGACTAGGGATTGGACAGACAGGGCGAATGAGTCAAATGAGTTTGCGTCACCTATTTTAAGTGGAGGTGTACTCATAATAGCCCCTAATTCAGATTGAACTAGCTGTCTGGGCTGGCCATACTTCGCCTGTAAAGCTTGTAAGGCTGCGGTGTAAGGTTGTGGGTGGTGCATATAAGCTTTAGCTAGCTGTTGTGCACTAGCAAATTTCAGATGACTCATTAATACTTGGTATTTGTATTGCTCGCTAATGTGAGTATGGGGACTTAGTAGGCTGTCTAAGGCCAATTTCAAGAGGGCAAAGTCACTTTCTGTACCACTTTCAAACACAGGTAGTGTTGGGCGAGGGATGCCATAGGCTGCGGCCATCAAAAGCTCTGTTCCGGGTTGAGGCAAGTAGCCAGTTTGGGAAACAGGTGCATTTGCAAAGGGCTGTGGGCAAATAGGCATGTTGGATGCAACTGTCACCCTCTGATGAGGAGCTGTTGGTGGTGTAATATCACTGTCTGTGTGGGGCATAGCATTAAGAGTAACTGTTGTATGCATAGGGTTAAAAGTGGGTCGTGGCACTGAAATTGGGTTTGGTGGATGCTGATTGGCCATTTGGGCAGTGTGAGCTGGAGCTTGTGTTAACTTAGTTGCCTGTAGCGCCCCTGGGGGAATGTAGGGTGTTGAATGGGCCATATAAGGATCCTTTAATGTGCTCTGTGCCTCTGGAACAGTTTGTATGATCTGCATTCTGGGCGGTGCGGCGCATGAAGACTGCTGTAGGACAGAAGATGGAGCTGGGCTAGCACAAAGAGACTTTGGTGGCGGTGCTGTGGTGTCTGGGGATGCTTGAAGTTCAGCATCGTTCACACTTAGGTCTTGGCTGAGTTTAAGAATTTACAAGTTTAGCGACTTCTAAGTCAGCTTCGGCCTTTTTCAGCTTCAGTTGTCTCTCCAATTGATTAGCAAATGCTTCCTTTGCCTCCAGAGCCTCTTCCTGTATGCGCTGAGCCTCCTTAGCTTGTGTTCGCAGTCTGTGATATTCTATTTCTGCCAGCTTGTCCTCCTCCATCTGCTCAAGAAGGTTATCATACTGACGCTGCTTAATTCTCTCCTCCACGATGGCTGCCTGACTGCTTGTGAGTGCTAAAGTAGCTTGTGCACGAGAAGTAGTGGAAAAACTACTGGATTTAGAATGAAGGCTGGCTTTACTATGTGACGTTTTCCTTGACTGGCTTTTATGTTGGCTGTGACAGCGTGAAGCAGTGATTGAAGGAGGGCCCTCAGGAAGTGTATAGCCAACTTCATAATCTCCCAAATGTGATGGCAGTTTACCCTTTCTCTTCGGTCTGGCTGCGGGGTCTGATACAACTACAGTTGCACTGTCCATATTGTTTGCTTTGCCAGCTCCGGCTCGAAGGACCAACTTGTGACGGGGTACTATACCTCTGTCAACGGAGTAAATTTACAGTTCTACTGGCGGACAAATATGGACATTGATTCCGGTCAGAGAATCAGGCAACAAAGAAGTAATCCTTTTCAAACTTCTTTAATAACAATTATTAAGCAGTCAGTGCCATCAAACTTTCCAAGTATGTTGTGGTCTGTAGAACAGATGAGGAATACAGTATAAATATAAGGTATCTTTACACATTCACTTCAATGAGAAATCACACCATATATACAATGATTAAACAGTGATAATAAAGGAACAAATATATACGTAATAACAAACCAACTAATTAGTTAAATGGCAGTAAAAGGCAATAGGCTGAATGACGGAGCATATATTGCACACTGTATTCTCTCGCGGCTAGCGCGAGCGATATTTTCCCGCAATCGCGGCGCGATCGTCGTCATATATAACAAACAGTCTCTTATATGAAAGGAGTAAATGTTCACTCAGTGATTGTCACATTATTACTCACATTTAGTGCATGAACGCACAACATGTCGGAAGAAAAGGAGCGCATTGTGATCTGGCCCGGCATCTGAGTATGGGAAGTTGCACCGCTAATAACAGTCCGTGTGAAACTCGCTAAATATTTTCAGTTCCTAGTGGGATTTCTGACAATATATATATATAGAAGGTGAGTGCTTTTGGCTACATAATTTGTGATCTCCAGAAATGTATATAAGGCTACATTTTCAGAATGAGTCTGTGTTGGCTTTATTTATGGTGAGAACTAGTTAATACGTATGTAATGTTTAGCCTTAACAGCAGATAATAAAATAGGTCTGTCCATCATGGCCGACTGATGATGGGTCTTGAAAACTTTCGCTAAATCTATAATTTACTGCTGGTGTCACTGTTGGAATGACAGATTTATGCATTTTTAAAGTCATATTATTTCATGTGCTTTGTGGATTACTTTTTTCTAGTTTTTTGAAGAAGAAATGCCCTTGAGAATCAATAGTACACTTGACAAACTTCTTAAAAGTACTTTTTAGCATGGCTCAAAACGCATCAGGCTCATTCTGCTGTGGTAAACATACAGTGGATTTGGCCCAGAGCCACAGCATTAATGAAAGCCCAGGAAATCCTGAGTTTAGCGAGACTTCAGAGGTGCATGGATGGGCTCTTTTATCTCTCTGTTTGGTGGAATGGGCATCCTGTAGGCATCCAGAAAACGAGAGCTTGTTACAGTCGGCACTGCTCGACAAGCACATCTTTATTCTTGGAACAAACTTCACTATGGTGTCTCTATAGTATCGCTGACTCTTCGCTGGCAAGACGAAGTCTTTTGAAGATTGTTTTGTATTTCGCAAACTAAATAAATCCAAATAATCACTGTTTTGGGGAAAACGCACACACAGAACTCTAGTCGCTCATGTGTGGGAAGTATATATAGCAAGCTGTTCCTCTGTTTCTGTTCATTAGCGCACAGCTCTCCTGATCATTACTACCCATCAAGCTATCAATTTGACGTCTCAATGGATCGGTTGAAATTTCAGTTCTGCCATCTTCACTTACAGGTGCTTCATTCTCCTGCCAGGTGGGGTTGAGCCAATAACCAGCTCAGATGCTAAAAATAACCCAATCGCATTTATTGGCTGAATCTGTGACTTAAACTAATTTTGAAAATCAACATGAAAATTAGTAAGAAGGATACGCTGATATTGTTTTCTAATTAATTTTGATCAAGCGTAACCAAAGATTATTGAATACATAAGACACTTGTATAGTTTTGAATGGGGAAAATGATCAATATGGACGCTTTAGCAAAGGAAGTCTTATCTTCATGAAAAGGAGCTAATTGGGGCTCAGTCCAGACATGTGTTTTTTCACATTGTTATGAACCCTTTCGAGTCAGAATGCATTTCCAATGAGTCTGGGACAGCTAAAGACTGGTTTATACTTCTGCATTGAGTGATCGCAACTTCCTTGCACGTAGCCGTGTATTTATATTTCTGCGTGCTGTTTGTGCTGCTCTGCATAACCCTTCTGAAACGCTAGCTGGCAGTGAGGTTTTTATGTTCCTCTGTGTTGAGTTTTTTCATGGGTGTTTTGTTTTTCTGAATGCTACCTTAATATACAAGTAGCACAAACTTGCTTATTCAGAGGCGGGAGCCGGCAGATTTTCAACAATTTTAAGCATAAGGTAAACACAAAACAAAAGTTTCCATGTGGAGCTCCTTCAAGTGACTCAACACTTGTAAACACTCTCTCCATTGGGCTCGGGTTTATCAGCACCGCCCACACTCGTCACAGCTACTAAGCCAACCAATCACAGAGCTTGCGCTATGCGTTGTTGCGACATGTAGTTACGTTTTGCAAGAAATGCGCATCATTGTTAGCGTTAGCCACTAAGAAGGGCTATGCGATTGCCTGGAGGCCAAGCCAGACCATACGTGTGCGCTGGGCGCAGAAGTATAAATCAGTCTTAAAAACAATATAAAAAATGTACTGATAATAATAATAATAATTCCTTACATTTCTATAGCGTTTTTCTGGATACTTAATTTGTAAAGAGCTATTCTGGATACTCTGGTTACATTTTTTGGGGAAATCTCCTCATCTACCACAAGTGTCCAGCATTCACCTGAATGACGCGATGGCAGCCATATTGTGCCAGACCGCACACCACAAACCAGCTAATTGGTGGAGAGAAGACAGAGTGATGAGCCCAATTATGATATGGGTACGGTTAGGAGGTCATGATGGAAAGAGGCCAGTGGGCCAATTTGGCCAGGATGCTGGGGTTAAACCCCTACACTTTTTCGGAGGAAATACAAGGATTTCAACAACCACAGTCAGCCAGGACCTTGATTCAACATCTCATCCAAAAGACGGCACTCACTGAGCAGTATAGACTCCCTATCAATAAACTGGGGCATTACGACCTACACAGACTGCAGGTTAAGCGCCCACAACTGGTCTCACTAATACCACTTCCATCAGTAACCTAGCTTTCCCATGTGGTCTCCCATTTAGTTACTGACTGGGCACAATCCTGCTTAATTTTTAAACAGCACTGTGAAAAGTGACATATTTGTTCATATTTGGAGCACAGTTAAAAAAACCACAAATATCTCCGTTGTTATTTAGAGAAGGGTCATGTCCTAATCTACTGCATTACTTTGGGTCCTGTGTCTGTTTATTATTTTGTATAATGTTTTTTATAAAAAACACCGCTATGGTGTCCAGAGTTAGTCTGTGGTGATGATAATAAATCCTGGACCTTCTATATATTGCTGTGCTTTATTTAGAGCAGACGTTCTTGATTCAAACAAAGCCCAAACACAACAAAACATAATGCACAGATCCTGAGATAATCCTTTCAGAGTGGCATTACATGGGGCTTTGCTAAAGCTATAGGACATATGATCCTGTTGTAACGATAATGATATTGTTAAACCATCAGCGTCGTTTACAAACAACAGGTCCAGGGATCCATTCTTCATATCTTACTTAAAGGGCTAAATAAAAAATTTGGCCAATCATTACTCATTCTCATGTCATTTCAAACCCCAGAGACCTTCACTCATCTTCGGAACACGAGTTAAAATATTTTGGAATTTGGTTTAAATTTTGTGTGAACTATTATGTCAATCAAATCAAATCCAGCTTACTGAGTGATCCACAAACAAAGAACAGACCCCAAGTTTATCTTTCCAACAGAAGAAGAGTCTGGGTCAGTTCCAAGCAGCACACTGTTTATACAATACTGATATACAATACTGAGCGAACACAAATCATACGAACACAAATCATACGAAAATTTGTTCCAAGACAACAACATACAAAAATATAATGTTTAAATATTGAATAACTTATGAGACTACATACATTTTCTCTCCATTATCACAAAACCTATGACCAAACAACAAAGACTACTTCAAAAAGTTGTGAACCAGTGAAAATCTCTAACTGAGAAATGTATTCTGTGTAGTGAATGTAGTGAATATGGGTTGAAACCAGCACCCCTACAAGCAATTGTTTGTTTAAATGATGTCTAAATTAAAGGCTAAATTAAGGCTGTGAAAATCATAGATGTCTATCAATACTCTAAAGCTAGTGCTCAAATAGACATAGTAGAAAGACTTCAGTTCATGTAGTCAGTCATTTCAGTCTTTTTAATGACTTTTCTATTTTTGACTATTTTCTAATAGATTTTCACTGACAGCACAAATTTAGCCTTAATTTAGTCATGATGTCTATGTTTGGAAGTCTATTAGATTTTTTAAATCACGCTTGGACCATACTATGAAGAAAGCAAGTCTGCATCTGTGAGGGCTATGAAGTCAAGGCAAGGTTTGTAAACACTACTTCCCTCCATCCCCC